CTCTGTGTGTCTCTGTGTGTCTCTGTGTCTCTCTCTGTGTGTCTGTGTCTCTGTGTGTGTCTCTGTGTCTCTGTGTCTCTGTCTGTGTGTGTAGTTTTTCCGCATCCTCAACGGCTACCACATAGACAACAAACTGCTCCTGACTGTGTCTCTGTGTCTCTGTGTGTCTCTGTGTGTCTCTGTGTCTCTCTCTGTGTGTCTGTGTCTCTGTGTGTGTCTCTGTGTCTCTGTGTCTCTGTCTGTGTGTGTGTGTGTCTGTGTGTGTAGTTTTTTCCGCATCCTCAATGGCTACCACATAGACAACAAGCTGCTCCTGACTGTGTGTGTATCTGTGTCTCTGTGTGTCTCTGTGTGTCTGTCTGTGTCTCTGTGTGTCTGTGTGTCTCTGTCTGTGTCTCTGTGTGTGTAGTTTTTCCGCATCCTCAATGGCTACCACATAGACAACAAGCTGCTCCTGACTGTGTCTGTGTGTGTCTCTGTGTGTGTGTGTCTCTGTGTCTCTGTCTGTGTCTCTCTGTTTGTGTGTCTCTGTGTCTCTGTCTGTGTGTGTGTGTCTCTGTGTGTCTCTCTCGTCTGTGTGTCTGTGTGTGTCTCTCTCACCGTGTCTCTGTGTCTGTGTCTGTCTGTCTGTGTGTCTCTGTGTGTGTAGTTTTTCCGCATCCTCAACGGCTAGCACATCGACAACAAGCTTTTCCTGACTGTCTCTCTGTGTGTCTCTGTGTGTGTGTGTCTCTCTGTGTGTCTCTGTGTCTCTATCTCTCTCTGTGTGTCTCTGTGTGTCTCTGTCTGTCTGTGTGTCTCTGTGTGTCTCTGTGTCTCTGTGTCTCTGTCTGTGTCTCTGTGTGTGTAGTTTTTCCGCATCCTCAATGGCTACCACATCGACAACAAGCTGCTCCTGACTGTGTCTCTGTGTCTCTGTGTCTCTCTGTGTGTCTCTGTGTGTCTGTGTGTCTCTGTGTCTCTGTGTCTCTGTCTGTGTGTCTCTCTCTGTGTGTCTCTGTGTCTCTGTCTGCGTGTCTCTCTCTGTGTGTCTCTGTGTCTCTGTCTGTGTGTGTAGTTTTTCCGCATCCTCAATGGCTACCACATAGACAACAAGCTGCTCCTGACTGTGTCTCTGTGTGTCTCTCTCTGTGTGTCTCTGTGTGTCTCTGTCTGTGTGTCTGTGTGTGTGTCTGTGTGTGTGTGTGTCTGTGTGTCTCTGTCTGTGTGTCTCTCTCTGTGTGTCTCTGTGTCTCTGTCTGTGTGTCTGTGTGTGTCTCTGTCTGTGTGTCTCTGTGTCTCTCTTTGTGTCTCTCTCACTGTGTCTCTGTGTGTGTGTCTGTGTCTCTGTGTGTCTGTCTCTCTCTCTGTGTGTGTCTCTCTCTGTGTCTCTGTCTGTGTGTCTCTGTGTGTGTGTCTCTCTCTCTGTGTGTGTCTCTCTCTGTCTCTCTCTCACTGTGTCTCTGTGTCTCTCTCTCTGTGTCTCTGTCTCTGTGTGTGTGTCTCTCTCTCTCTCTGTGTGTCTCTCTCTGTCTCTCTCTCACTGTGTCTCTGTGTCTCTCTCTCTGTGTCTCTGTCTCTGTCTCTGTGTGTGTCTGTGTGTGTAGTTTTTCCGCATCCTCAATGGCTACCACATAGACAACGAGCTGCTCCTGACTGTGTCTGTGTGTGTCTCTGTCTGTCTGTGTGTGTCTCTGTGTCTCTCTCACCGTGTCTCTGTCTCTCTGTGTCTCTGTGTGTGTAGTTTTTCCGCATCCTCAATGGCTACCACATCGACAACAAGCTGCTCCTGACTGTGTCTCACTGTGTGTCTCTGTGTGTCTCTGTGTGTCTGTGTCTCACTGTGTGTCTCTGTGTGTCTGTGTGTCTCTGTGTCTCTGTGTGTCTGTGTGTGTAGTTTTTCCGCATCCTCAATGGCTACCACATAGACAACAAGCTGCTCCTGACTGTGTCTCTGTCTGTGTGTCTCTGTGTGTCTGTGTGTCTCTGTGTGTCTCTGTGTCTCTGTGTAGTTTTTCCGCATCCTCAATGGCTACCACATCGACAACAAGCTGCTCCTGACTGTGTCTGTGTGTGTCTCTGTGTGTCTGTGTGTCTCTGTGTGTCTCTGTGTGTCTCTGTCTGTGTGTCTGTGTGTCTCTGTGTGTCTCTGTGTCTCTGTGTAGTTTTTCCGCATCCTCAATGGCTACCACATCGACAACAAGCTGCTCATGACTGTGTCTCACTGTGTGTCTCTGTGTGTCTGTGTGTCTCTGTGTGTCTCTGTGTGTCTCTGTCTGTGTGTCTCTGTGTGTCTCTGTGTCTCTGTGTCTCTGTCTGTGTGTCTCTCTGTGTCTCTGTCTGTGTAGTTTTTCCGCATCCTCAATGGCTACCACATCGACAACAAGCTGCTCATGACTGTGTCTCACTGTGTGTCTCTGTGTGTCTGTGTGTCTCTGTGTGTCTCTGTGTGTCTCTGTCTGTGTGTCTCTGTGTGTCTCTGTGTCTCTGTGTCTCTGTCTGTGTGTCTCTCTGTGTCTCTGTCTGTGTAGTTTTTCCGCATCCTCAATGGCTACCACATCGACAACAAGCTGCTCATGACTGTGTCTCACTGTGTGTCTCTGTGTGTCTGTGTGTCTCTGTGTGTCTCTGTGTGTCTCTGTCTGTGTGTCTCTGTGTGTCTCTGTGTCTCTGTCTGTGTGTCTCTCTGTGTCTCTGTCTGTGTAGTTTTTCCGCATCCTCAATGGCTACCACATCGACAACAAGCTGCTCATGACTGTGTCTCACTGTGTGTCTCTGTGTGTGTGTGTCTCTGTGTGTCTCTGTCTGTGTCTGTGTGTCTCTGTGTGTGTAGTTTTTCCGCATCCTCAATGGCTACCACATAGACAACAAGCTGCTCCTGACTGTGTGTGTCTGTCTCTCTGTGTGTGTGTCTCTGTGTGTCTCTGTCTGTGTCTCTCTCTGTGTGTGTAGTTTTTCCGCATCCTCAATGGCTACCACATCGACAACAAGCTGCTCCTGACTGTGTCTGTGTGTGTGTCTCTGTGTGTCTGTGTGTCTCTGTGTCTGTGTGTCTCTGTGTGTGTAGTTTTTCCGCATCCTCAATGGCTACCACATCGACAACAAGCTGCTCATGACTGTGTCTCACTGTGTGTCTCTGTGTGTCTGTGTGTCTCTGTGTGTCTCTGTGTGTCTCTGTCTGTGTGTCTCTGTGTGTCTCTGTGTCTCTGTGTCTCTGTCTGTGTGTCTCTCTGTGTCTCTGTCTGTGTAGTTTTTCCGCATCCTCAATGGCTACCACATCGACAACAAGCTGCTCATGACTGTGTCTCACTGTGTGTCTCTGTGTGTCTGTGTGTCTCTGTGTGTCTCTGTGTGTCTCTGTCTGTGTGTCTCTGTGTGTCTCTGTGTCTCTGTGTCTCTGTCTGTGTGTCTCTCTGTGTCTCTGTCTGTGTAGTTTTTCCGCATCCTCAATGGCTACCACATCGACAACAAGCTGCTCATGACTGTGTCTCACTGTGTGTCTCTGTGTGTCTGTGTGTCTCTGTGTGTCTCTGTGTGTCTCTGTCTGTGTGTCTCTGTGTGTCTCTGTGTCTCTGTGTCTCTGTCTGTGTGTCTCTCTGTGTCTCTGTCTGTGTAGTTTTTCCGCATCCTCAATGGCTACCACATCGACAACAAGCTGCTCATGACTGTGTCTCACTGTGTGTCTCTGTGTGTGTGTGTCTCTGTGTGTCTCTGTCTGTGTCTGTGTGTCTCTGTGTGTGTAGTTTTTCCGCATCCTCAATGGCTACCACATAGACAACAAGCTGCTCCTGACTGTGTGTGTCTGTCTCTCTGTGTGTGTGTCTCTGTGTGTCTCTGTCTGTGTCTCTCTCTGTGTGTGTAGTTTTTCCGCATCCTCAATGGCTACCACATCGACAACAAGCTGCTCCTGACTGTGTCTGTGTGTGTGTCTCTGTGTGTCTGTGTGTCTCTGTGTCTGTGTGTCTCTGTGTGTGTAGTTTTTCCGCATCCTCAATGGCTACCACATCGACAACAAGCTGCTCCTGACTGTGTCTCTGTGTCTCTGTGTCTCTCTGTGTGTCTCTGTGTCTCTCTCACCGTGTCTCTGTGTCTCTGTGTGTCTCTGTGTCTCTGTGTCTCTGTCTGTGTCTCTGTCTGTGTAGTTTTTCCGCATCCTCAATGGCTACCACATCGACAACAAGCTGCTCCTGACTGTGTCTCTGTGTGTCTCTCTCTGTGTCTCTGTCTCTGTCTCTGTGTGTGTGTCTCTCTCTCTCTCTGTGTCTCTCTCTGTCTCTCTCTCACTGTGTCTCTGTGTCTCTCTCTCTGTGTCTCTGTCTCTGTCTCTGTGTGTCTGTGTGTGTAGTTTTTCCGCATCCTCAATGGCTACCACATCGACAACAAGCTGCTCCTGACTGTCTCTCTCACCGTGTCTCTGTGTCTCTGTGTGTGTCTGTGTGTGTAGTTTTTCCGCATCCTCAATGGCTACCACATCGACAACAAGCTGCTCCTGACTGTGTCTCTGTGTCTCTGTGTGTCTCTGTGTCTCTGTGTGTCTCTGTGTCTCTGTGTGTCTCTGTCTGTGTGTCTCTGTGTCTCTCTCACCGTGTCTCTGTGTGTCTCTGTGTCTCTGTCTGTGTGTCTGTGTGTGTGTCTCTGTCTGTGTGTGTCTCTCTCACCGTGTCTCTGTGTCTCTGTGTGTGTAGTTTTTCCGCATCCTCAATGGCTACCACATCGACAACAAGCTGCTCCTGACTGTCTCTCTCTGTGTATCTCTGTGTCTCTGTGTGTCTCTGTGTCTCTGTGTGTCTCTGTCTGTGTGTCTCTGTGTCTCTCTCACCGTGTCTCTGTGTCTCTCTGTGTCTCTGTCTGTGTGTCTGTGTGTGTGTCTCTGTCTGTGTGTGTATCTCTGTCTGTGTCTCTGTGTGTGTAGTTTTTCCGCATCCTCAACGGCTACCACATCGACAACAAGCTGCTCCTGACTGTGTCTCACTGTGTGTCTCTGTGTCTCTCTCACCGTGTCTGTGTCTCTGTGTGTGTAGTTTTTCCGCATCCTCAATGGCTACCACATCGACAACAAGCTGCTACTGACGGGAACTCCGCTCCAGAACAACTTGGAGGAACTCTTCCACCTCCTCAACTTCCTCACACCGGACCGCTTCAAGTGGGGACCAGCTGTGTGTCTCCCCGTGTCTCCCCCGTGTCTCTCCGTGTCTCTCAGCGTCTCCCCGTGTCTTTCTGTGTCTCCCCGTGTCTCCCACGTGTCTCCCAGTGTCTCTCAGCGTCTCTCAGCGTCTCTCCCCGTGTCTCTCCCTGTCTCCCCGTGTCTCCCCGTGTCTCCCCCGTGTCTCCCAGTGTCTCCCCGTGTCTCCCCCACATCTCCCCGTGTCTCCCCGTGTCTCTCAGCGTCTCCCCGTGTCTCTCCCTGTCTCCCCGTGTCTCCCAGTGTCTCCCACGTGTCTCCCCGTGTCTCCCAGTGTCTCCCAGTGTCTCCCCGTGTCTCCCAGTGTCTCTCAGCGTCTCTCAGCGTCTCCCCGTGTCTCCTAGTGTCTCCTAGTGTCTCCCCTTCCACCGCACCATCTCCTCTCTCCTCTCCACGTCTCACTCCTCCTCCTCCCTCCTCCTCCTCCCTCCTCCTCCTCCACCTCCTCCTCCTCCACCTCCTCCTCCACCTCCTCCTCCACCTCCTCCTCCTCCACCTCCTCCCTCCTCCTCCTCCACCTCCTCCACCTCCTCCTCCTCCTCAACCCCCCAGCAACCTGGATGGCTTCCTGGAGGAGTTTGCAGACATCTCTAAGGAGGAGCAGATCAAGTGTCTCCACGTGTCTCCCCGTGTCTCCCCGTGTCTCCCGTATCTCCCCATGTCTCCTAGTGTCTCCCTGTGTCTCTCAGCGTCTCTCCCCGTGTCTCCCCCCCGTGTCTCCCCCCCGTGTCTCCCAGCGTATCTCCCCCTCCACCCCACCATCTCCTCTCTCCTCTCCACGGCTCACTCCACCTCCTCCTACCTCCTCCTGCACCACCTCCTCCACCTCCTCACCCTCCACCTCCACCTCCTCCTCCTCCACCTCCTCCCCCTCCCTCCTCCTCCTCCTCCTCACCCTCCTCCTCCTCCACCTCCTTCTCACTCCTCCTCCTCCACCTCCACCTCCTCACCCTCCTCACCCTCCTCCTCCTCCCGCCTCCTCCTCCTCCTCCCTCCTCCTCCTCCACCTCCTCCTCCTCCTCCACCTCCTCCTCCACCTCCTCCTCCTCCTCCACCTCCTCCACCTCCACCTCCTCCTCCACTTCCTCCACCTCCTCCTCCACCTCCTCCTCCACTTCCTCCACCTCCTCCCTCCTCCACCGACTCCTCCCTCCTCCTCCTCCTCCTCCTCCTCCTCCTCATCCTCCTCCTCCTCCTCCTCCTCCCTCCACCTCCTCCTCCACCTCCTCCTCCTCCTCCTCCTCACCCTCCTCCTCCTCCTCCTCCTCCTCCTCGCCCCCCAGCAACCTGGATGGCTTCCTGGAGGAGTTTGCAGACATCTCTAAGGAGGAGCAGATCAAGCGTCTCTCCGTGTCTCCCCGTGTCTCCCCGTGTCTCCCAGTGTCTCCTAGCGTCTCCCGTATCTCCCCATGTCTCCTAGTGTCTCCCTGTGTCTCTCAGCGTCTCTCAGCGTCTCTCACCGTGTCTCTCCCTGTCTCCCCGTGTCTCCCAGTGTCTCCCACGTGTCTCCCCGTGTCTCCCAGTGTCTCCCCGCGTCTCCCAGTGTCTCCTAGCGTCTCCCGTATCTCCCCGTGTCTCCTAGCGTCTCCCTGTGTCTCCCCGCGTCTCTCCCCCGTGTCTCCCCCTCCACCCCACCATCTCCTCTCTCCTCTCCACGTCTCACTCCACCTCCTCCTCCACCTCCTCCACCTCCTCCTCCTCCTCCTCACCCTCCTCCTCACCCCCCCAGCAACCTGGATGGCTTCCTGGAGGAGTTTGCAGACATCTCTAAGGAGGAGCAGATCAAGCGTCTCCCAGTGTCTCCCCGTGTCTCCCCGTGTCTCCCCGTGTCTCCCAGTGTCTCCCCGTGTCTCCCCGTGTCTCCCCATGTCTCCCCGTGTCTCCCCGTGTCTCCCCGCATCTCCCCGTGTCTCCCTGTGTCTCCCAATGTCTCCCCGTGTCTCCTAGCGTCTCCCAGTGTCTCCCAGTGTCTCCTAGTGCCTCCTAGTGTCTCCCCGTGTCTCCCAGTGTCTCCTAGTGTCTCCCCGTGTCTCCCCGTGTCTCCCCGTCTCTCCCCGTGTCTCCCCGTGTCTCCCCGTGTCTCCCCGAGTCACCTAGCTTCTCCCCCGTGTCTCCCCCTCCACCCCACCATCTCTTCTCTCCTCACCCTCCTCCTCCACCTCCTCCTCCTCCTCCACCACCACCACCACCTCCTCCTCCTCCTCCTCCACCTCACCCTCCTCCTCCATCTCCACCTCCTCCTCACCCCCCCAGCAACCTGGATGGCTTCCTGGAGGAGTTTGCAGACATCTCTAAGCAGGAGCAGATCAAGCGTCTCCACGTGTCTCCCCGTGTCTCCTAGCGTCTCCCAGTGTCTCCCAGTGTCTCCCAGTGTCTCCTAGCGTCTCCCGTATCTCCCCATGTCTCCTAGCGTCTCCCTGTGTCTCCCCGCGTCTCTCCCCCGTGTCTCCCCCTCCACCCCACCATCTCCTCTCTCCTCTCCACGTCTCCCTCCTCCTCCTCCTCACCCTCCTCCTCCTCCACCTCCTCCTCACTCCCCCAGCAACCTGGATGGCTTCCTGGAGGAGTTTGCAGACATCTCTAAGGAGGAGCAGATCAAGCGTCTCCACGTGTCTCCCCGTGTCTCCCCGCGTCTCCCCGTGTCTCCCCGCATCTTCCCGTGTCTCCCAGTGTCTCCCAGTGTCTCCCCGTGTCTCCCAGTGTCTCCTAGCATCTCCCGTATCTCCCCATGTCTCCTAGCGTCTCCCTGTGTCTCCCCGCGTCTCTCCCTCGTGTCTCCCCCTCCACCCCACCATCTCCTCTCTCCTCTCCACGTCTCCCTCCTCATCCTCCTTCTCCTCCTCCTCCTCACCCTCCTCCTCCTCCACCTCCTCCTCACTCCCCCAGCAACCTGGATGGCTTCCTAGAGGAGTTTGCAGACATCTCTAAGGAGGAGCAGATCAAGCGTCTCCCAGTGTCTCCCCGCGTCTCCTAGCGTCTCTCCCCCGTGTCTCCCCCTCCACCCCACCATCTCCTCTCTCCTCTCCACGTCTCACTCCACCTCACCCTCCTCCTCCTCCTCCTCCTCCTCCTCACCCTCCTCCTCCTCCACCTCCTCCTCACTCCCCCAGCAACCTGGATGGCTTCCTGGAGGAGTTTGCAGACATCTCTAAGGAGGAGCAGATCAAGCGTCTCCATGACCTGCTTGGCCCGCACATGCTCAGGCGCCTCAAGGCGGACGTCTTCAAGAACATGCCGTCCAAGACGGAGCTCATCGTCCGCGTGGAGCTCAGCTCCATGCAGAAGTGAGGGAATGTGTGGGAGATTCAAGGTCACGCTGGGGGTCACGTAGGGGTCACGTAGGGGTCACGCTTGGGGTCACAACACGCCGTCCAAGACGGAGCTCATCGTGGGCGTGGAGCTCAGCTCCATGCAGAAGTGAGGGGGGAGGGGAGATTCAAGGTCACGTATGGGGTCACGTAGGGGTCATGTAGGGGTCACGCTGGGGTCACGTAGGGGTCATGCTGGGGTCATGTAGGGGTCACGCTGGGGTCACGAGGCTGTGCCATCTAAAAGGCATCACCTCGTGGTGATGATGGTGATGGTGATGATGGTGATGATGATGGTAGTGATGATGATGGTGGTGGTGATGATGGTGATGATGGTGGTGGTGATGTTGAAGCTTATGGTGATGATGTTGAAGCTGATGGTGATGATGATGGTGGTGATGATGATGGTAATGGTGGTGATGATGATGACGGTGGTAATGGTGATGATGATGATGGTAGTGATAATGATGATGATGGTGGTAATGGTGATGGTGATGATGGTGATGGTGGTAGTGATGATGATGATGATAGTGATGATGATGGTAGTAATGATTATGATGGTAGTGATGATGTTGGTGGTAGTAATGATGATGATGGTGGTGATGATGATGTTGGTGGTAATGGTGATGATGATGGTAGTGATGATGATGATGGTAGTGATGTTGATGATGGTGATGATGGTGGTGATGGTGGTAATGGTGGTGATGATGATGGTGGTGATGGTGATGATGATGGTAGTGATGATGATGGTAGTGATGATGGTTATGGTGGTGGTGATGATGATGATGGTAGTGATGATGGTGGTGATGGTGATGATGGTGGTGATGGTGGTGGTGGTGATGATGGTGATGGTAGTGATGATGATGGTGATGATGTTGAAGCTGATGGTTATGATGGTGGTGATGGTGGTAATGGTGGTGATGATGGTGATGATGATGGTGATGATGGTGGTAGTGATGATAATGATGATGGTAGTGATGATGATGATGATGGTGATGATGGTGGTAGTGATGATGATGGTAGTGAAGATGATGATGGTAGTAATGATGATTATGATGGTAGTAATGATGATGGTGAACCTCATGATGATGATGATGTTGAAGCTGATGACGATGATGATGGCGGCGGCGGCGGCGATGGTGGTGATGATGATGATGGTGGTGATGGTGATGATGATGGTGGTGATGGTGATGATGATGGTAGTGATGGTGATGATGATAGTGATGGTATCGATGATGATGGTAGTGATGATGATGATGGCAGTAATGATCATTATGATGGTAGTAATGATGATGATGTTGAAGCTGATGACGATGATGATGGCGGCGGCGGCGATGGTGGTGATGGTGATGATGATGATGGTGATAGTGATGATGATGATGATGGTGGTAGTGATGATGATGATGGTGGTGATGGTGATGATGATGGTAGTGATGGTGATGATGGTAGTGATGATGATGGTAGCGATGATGATGATGATGGTAGTGATGATGATGATGGCAGTAATGCTGATTATGATGGTAGTAATGATGATGATGGTGAACCTCATGATGATGGTGTTGAAGCCGATGACGATGATGATGGCGGCGGCGGCGATGGTGGTGATGGTGATGATGATGATGGTGGTGATGGTGATGATGATGATGGTGGTAGTGATGGTGATGATGATGGTGATGATGGTGGTGATGGTGATGATGGTAGTGATGATGATGATGTTGGTGGTAATGATGATGGTGAACCTGATGATGATGTTGGTGGTAATGATGATGATGGTGAACCTCATAATGATGATGTTGAAGCTGATGACGATGATGATGGCGATGGTGGTGGTGATGGTGATGATGATGATGGTGGTGATGGTGATGATGATGGTAGTGATGGTGATGATGATGGTGATGATGGTAGTGATGGTGATGATGATGGTAGTGATGGTGATGATGATGATGATGGTAGTGATGGTGATGATGATGGTGGTGATGGTGATGATGATGATGGTGGTAGTGATGATGATGATGGTGGTGGTGATGGTGATGATGATGATGGTGATGATGTCCTATCGATGTCCCGATGCAGGAAGTACTATAAGTACATCCTGACGCGCAACTTCGAAGCGCTGAACACGAAGGGTGGAGGGAACCAGGTGTCACTGCTGAACATCATGATGGATCTGAAGAAGTGTTGTAACCACCCTTACCTGTTCCCCATCGTCGCCATGGTGAGCGAGACACGGGGAGACACGGGGAGAGACACGGGGAGACACTGGGAGAGAGAGACACGGGGAGAGAGAGACACGGGGAGACACGGGGAGACAGGGGGAGAGAGAGACACTGGGAGAGAGAGACACTGGGAGAGAGACACTGAGAGAGAGACACTGGGAGACACGGGGAGAGAGAGACACGGGGAGACACGGGGAGACACGGGGAGACACGGGGAGACACGGGGAGACACGGGGAGAGAGAGACACGGGGAGAGAGAGACATGAGAGAGAGAGACACGGGGAGACACTGGGAGAGAGAGACACTGGGAGAGAGAGACACTGGGAGAGAGAGACACTGGGAGAGAGAGACACTGAGAGAGAGAGACACAGAGAGAGACACTGAGAGAGAGACACGTGGTTTCCCTGCTGAACATCATGATGGATCTGAAGAAGTGTTGTAACCACCCTTACCTGTTCCCCATCGTCGCCATGGTGAGCCAGACACGGGGAGACACGGGGAGAGACACGGGGAGACACTGGGAGACACGGGGAGAGAGAGACACTGGGAGAGAGATACTGGGAGAAAGAGACACTGGGAGAGAGACACTGGGAGACACGGGGAGAGAGAGACACTGGGAGAGAGATACTGGGAGAGAGAGACACTGGGAGAGAGACACAGAGAGAGACACTGAGAGAGACACACTGGGAGAGAGAGACACTGAGAGAGAGACACGTGGTGTCACTGCTGAACATCATGATGGACTTGAAGAAGTGTTGTAACCACCCTTACCTGTTCCCCATCGTCGCCATGGTGAGCGAGACACAGAGAGAGACACGGGGAGACACGGGGAGAGAGAGACACGGGGAGAGAGAGACACGGGGAGAGAGAGACACTGGGAGAGAGACACTGGGAGAGAGAGACACTGAGAGAGAGACACGGGGAGAGAGAGACACAGAGAGAGACACAGAGAGAGACACTGAGAGAGAGACACAGAGAGAGACACTGAGAGAGAGTCACGTGGTGTCCCTGCTGAACATCATGATGGATCTGAAGAAGTGTTGTAACCACCCATACCTGTTCCCCATCGTCGCCATGGTGAGCGAGACACGGGGAGACACGGGGAGACACGGGGAGACACGGGGAGAGAGAGACACTGGGAGAGAGAGACACTGGGAGACACGGGGAGAGAGAGACACGGGGAGACACGGGGAGACACTGGGAGAGAGAGACACTGGGAGAGAGAGACACAGAGAGAGAGACACAGAGAGAGACACTGAGAGAGACACACAGAGAGAGACACTGAGAGAGAGACACAGAGAGAGACACTGAGAGAGAGAGACACAGAGAGAGACACTGAGAGAGAGACACTGAGAGAGAATCACGTGGTTTCCCTGCTGAACATCATGATGGATCTGAAGAAGTGTTGTAACCACCCTTACCTGTTCCCCATCGTCGCCATGGTGAGCGAGACACAGGGAGACACGGGGAGACACGGGGAGACACGGGGAGACACGGGGAGAGAGAGACACTGGGAGAGAGAGACACTGGGAGAGAGAGACACAGAGAGAGAGACACAGAGAGAGACACTGAGAGAGACACACAGAGAGAGACACTGAGAGAGAGACACAGAGAGAGACACTGAGAGAGAGAGACACAGAGAGAGACACTGAGAGAGAGACACTGAGAGAGAAACACGTGGTGTCCCTGCTGAACATCATGATGGATCTGAAGAAGTGTTGTAACCACCCTTACCTGTTCCCCATCGTCGCCATGGTGAGCGAGACGCGGGGAGAGACACGGGGAGAGACACGGGGAGAGACACTGGGAGACACGGGGAGAGAGAGACGCTGGGAGAGAGATACTGGGAGAGAGAGACACTGGGAGAGAGAGACACGGGGAGAGAGAGACACGGGGAGAGAGAGACACTGAGAGAGAGAGACACGGGGAGACACTGGGAGAGAGAGACACTGGGAGAGAGACACTGGGAGAGACACTGAGAGAGAGACACTGGGAGAGAGAGACACTGAGAGAGAGAATCACGTGGTTTCCCTGCTGAACATCATGATGGATCTGAAGAAGTGTTGTAACCACCCATACCTGTTCCCCATCGTCGCCATGGTGAGCCAGACACGGGGGGTGGGAGACACGGGGAGACACGGGGAGACACGGGGAGACACGGGGAGAGAGAGACACGGGGAGACACTGGGAGAGAGAGACACGGGGAGAGAGAGACACGGGGAGACACGGGGATACACGGGGAGAGAGAGACACTGGGAGAGAGAGACACTGGGAGAGAGACACTGAGAGAGAGACACTGAGAGAAAGAGACACTGGGAGAGACACGGGGAGAGAGACACTGAGAGAGAGACACTGAGAGAAAGAGACACTGGGAGAGACACGGGGAGAGAGACACTGAGAGAGAGACACGTGGTGTCACTGCTGAACATCATGATGGATCTGAAGAAGTGTTGTAACCACCCTTACCTGTTCCCCATCGTCGCCATGGTGAGCGAGACACGGGGAGACACGGGGAGAGACACGGGGAGAGAGAGACATTGGGAGACACGGGGAGAGAGAGACACGGGGAGAGACATGGGGAGATAGAGACACGGGGAGACACGGGGAGAGAGAGACACTGGGAGAGAGAGACACTGGGAGAGAGAGATACTGGGAGAGAGAGACACTGGGAGAGAGAGACACTGAGAGAGAGACACTGAGAGAGAGACACAGAGAGAGACACTGAGAGAGAGACACAGAGAGAGACACTGAGAGAGAGACACGTGGTGTCACTGCTGAACATCATGATGGACTTGAAGAAGTGTTGTAACCACCCATACCTGTTACACATCGTCGCCATGGTGAGCCAGACACGGGGAGAGAGACCCGGGGAGACACGGGGAGAGGGAGACACGGGGAGAGAGACACGGGGAGACACGGGGAGACACGGGGAGACACGGGGAGACATAGAGAGAGAGACACTGGGAGACACGGGGAGAGAGAGACACGGGGAGACACTGGGAGAGAGAGACACGGGGAGAGAGAGACACGGGGAGAGAGAGACACGGGGAGACACTGGGAGAGAGAGACACTGAGAGAAAGAGACACGGGGAGAGAGACACTGGGAGACACGGGGAGAGAGAGACACTGAGAGAGACACTGGGAGACACGGGGAGAGAGAGACACGGGGAGACACGGGGAGAGAGAGACACGGGGAGAGAGAGACACGGGGAGAGAGAGACACGGGGAGAGAGAGACACTGGGAGAGAGAGACACTGAGAGAGACACGGGGAGAGAGACACGGGGAGACACGGGGAGAGAGACACACTGGGAGAGAGACACTGGGAGACACGGGGAGAGAGAGACACTGAGAGAGAGACACTGGGAGCGAGAGACACTGGGAGAGACACTGAGAGAGAGAGAGACACAGAGAGAGACACTGAGAGAGACACTGGGAGAGAGACACTGGGAGAGAGAGACACGGGGAGAGAGAGACGCAGAGAGAGAGACACTGAGAGAGAATCACGTGGTGTCACTGCTGAACATCATGATGGATCTGAAGAAGTGTTGTAACCACCCTTACCTGTTCCACATCGTCGCCATGGTGAGCGAGACACGGGGGGTGGGAGACACAGGGAGAGAGAGACACGAGGAGACATAGAGAGAGACACTAGGAGAGTTGGAGACACGGGGAGAGAGACACTGGGAGAGAGAGACACGGGGAGACACGGGGAGACACGGGGAGAGAGAGGGGGAGAGAGAGACACAGGGAGAGAGAGACACGGGGAGAGAGAGAGACACTGGGAGAGAGACACTGAGAGAGAGACACTGAGAGAAAGAGACACTGGGAGAGACACGGGGAGAGAGACACTGGGAGAGAATCACGTGGTTTCACTGCTGAACATCATGATGGATCTGAAGAAGTGTTGTAACCACCCTTACCTGTTCCCCATCGTCGCCATGGTGAGCGAGACACGGGGAGACACGGGGAGAGACACGGGGAGAGAGAGACATTGGGAGACACGGGGAGAGAGAGACACGGGGAGAGACATGGGGAGATAGAGACACGGGGAGACACGGGGAGAGAGAGACACTGGGAGAGAGAGACACTGGGAGAGAGAGATACTGGGAGAGAGAGACACTGGGAGAGAGAGACACTGAGAGAGAGACACTGAGAGAGAGACACAGAGAGAGACACTGAGAGAGAGACACAGAGAGAGACACTGAGAGAGAGACACGTGGTGTCACTGCTGAACATCATGATGAATCTGAAGAAGTGTTGTAACCACCCATACCTGTTCCTCATCGTCGCCATGGTGAGCGAGACACGGGGAGACACGGGGAGACACGGGGAGACACTGGGAGAGAGAGACACGGGGAGAGAGAGACACTGGGAGAGAGAGACACGGGGAGAGAGATACTGGGAGAGAGAGACACTGGGAGAGAGAGACGCTGGGAGAGAGAGACACTGGGAGAGAGAGACACGGGGAGACACGGGGAGAGAGAGACACGGAGAGAGAGAGACAGGGGCAGAGAGAGACACTGATAGAGAGACACTGGGAGAGAGAGACACTGGGAGACACGGGGAGAGAGAGACACGGGGAGACACTGGGAGAGAGAGACACGGGGAGAGAGAGACGCTGGGAGAGAGACACTGGGAGAGAGACACGGGGAGAGAGAGACATTGGGAGACAGACACTGGGAGAGAGACACTGGGAGAGAGAGACACGGGGAGAGAGAGACACGGGGAGAGAGAGACACGGGGAGAGAGAGACACGGGGAGAGAGAGACACGGGGAGAGAGAGACACTGGGAGAGAGAGACACGGGGAGAGAGAGACACGGGGAGAGAGACACTGGGAGAGAGAGACACGGGGAGAGAGAGACACTGGGAGAGAGAGACACTGGGAGAGAGAGACACGGGGAGAGAGAGATACTGGGAGAGAGAGACACGGGGAGAGAGAGACACGGGGAGAGAGAGACACGGGGAGAAGAGAGACACTGGGAGAGAGAGACACGGAGAGAGAGACACAGAGAGAGACACCGGGAGAGAGAGACACGGGGAGAGAGAGACACTGAGAGAGACACGGGGAGAGAGAGACACGGGGAGAGAGAGACACAGAGAGAGACACGGGGAGAGAGACACGGGGAGAGAGAGACACGGGGAGAGAGACACGGGGAGAGAGAGACACTGAGAGAGAGACACTGGGAGAGAGAGACACTGGGAGAGAGAGACACGGGGAGAGAGAGACACGGGGAGAGACACTGGGAGAGAGAGACACAGAGAGAGACACCGGGAGAGAGAGACACGGGGAGAGAGAGACACTGAGAGAGACACGGGGAGAGAGAGACACGGGGAAAGAGAGACACAGAGAGAGACACGGGGAGAGAGAGACACGGGGAGAGAGAGACACGGGGAGAGAGAGACACGGGGAGAGAGAGACGCTGGGAGAGAGAGATACACTGGGAGAGAGACACGGGGAGAGAGAGACACTGGGAGAGAGAGACACTGGGAGAGAGACACGGGGAGAGAGAGACACGGGCAGAGAGAGACACGGGGAGAGAGAGACACGGGGAGAGAGAGACACGGGGAGAGAGAGACACGGGGAGAGAGAGACACGGGGAGAGAGAGACGCTGGGAGAGAGAGACACTGCGAGAGAGAGACACGGGGAGAGAGAGACGGGGAGAGAGACACGGGGAGAGAGAGACACTGGGACAGAGACACTGAGAGAGAGACACTGGGAGAGAGACACGAGGAGAGAGAGACACTGGGAGAGAGACACGAGGAGAGAGAGACACGGGGAGAGAGACACTAGGAGAGAGACACGGGGAGACACGGGGGGTGAGGGAGGGAGAGAGACACTGGGAGAGAGACACGTGGAGACACGGGATGAGACAGACACTGGGAGAGAGACACTAGGAGAGAGACACGGGGAGACACGGGGGGTGAGGGAGGGAGAGAGAGACTGGGAGAGAGACACGTGGAGACACGGGATGAGACAGACACTGGGAGAGAGATACTAGGAGAGAGACACGGGGAGAGACAACAGAGAGAGACACTGGGAGAGAGAGACACTGAGAGAGACACTGGGAGAGAGACACGGGGAGACACGGGGGGTGAGGGAGGGAGAGAGACACTAGGAGAGAGACACGGGGAGACACGGGGGGTGAGGGAGGGAGAGAGACACTGGGAGAGAGACACGTGGAGACACGGGATGAGACAGACACTGGGAGAGAGACACTAGGAGAGAGACACGAGGAGAGAGAGACACTGGGAGAGAGACACGAGGAGAGAGAGACACGGGGAGAGAGACACTAGGAGAGAGACACGGGGAGACACGGGGGGTGAGGGAGGGAGAGAGACACTGGGAGAGAGACACGTGGAGACACGGGATGAGACAGACACTGGGAGAGAGACACTAGGAGAGAGACACGGGGAGACACGGGGGGTGAGGGAGGGAGAGAGACACTAGGAGAGAGACACGGGGAGACACGGGGGGTGAGGGAGGGAGAGAGACACTGGGAGAGAGACACGTGGAGACACGGGATGAGACAGACACTGGGAGAGAGACACTAGGAGAGAGACACGGGGAGAGACAACAGCGAGAGACACTGGGAGAGAGAGACACTGAGAGAGACACTGGGAGAGAGACACGGGGAGACACGGGGGGTGAGGGAGGGAGAGAGACACTGGGAGAGAGACACGTGGAGACACGGGATGAGACAGACACTGGGAGTGAGACACTAGGAGAGAGACACGTGGAGACACGGGATGAGACAGACACTGGGAGAGAGACACTGGGAGAGAGACACGGGGAGACTCGGGGGGTGAGGGAGCTTTCACGTGAGGGGTTAAGACCAGGGGTCACGACTGAGCCCCCTTCTCTCCCCCCACCACCACCCCCCCCCCACCACCACCCCCCCCCACTACCACCCACCATCACCACCTTCCCACCACCCACCCACCACTCCCCCCACCCGTGCCTCCCACCACCCCCCACCACCACAACCCCGTGCCCCCCCACTACCACCACCACCACCCCCCCAATACCAACACCCCCCCACCACCACCACCCACCACCACCCTACCCACCTGTGCCCCCCACCACCACCACCACCCCCCCACCACCACCACCCCCCCCCACCACCACCATCCCCCCACCACCACCCCCCCCCACCACCCTACCCACCTGTGCCCCCCACCACCACCCCCCACCACCACTACCCCCCCACCACCACCACCTTCCCACCACCCACCCACCACCGCCCCACTCGTGCCTCCCACCACCCCCCACCACCACCACCCCCCCACCACCACCACCCTCCACCACCACCACCACCACCTTCCCACCCACCCCACCACCACCACCCACCCACCCACCACCCACCCACCACCCCACCACCACCACCCCCCCACCACACCCCCCCCCCCGTGCCCCCCACTAGGAGGCCCCCACCACAGTGGGGGGAATGTTTGATGGTGGAGCTCTGACCAAGGCAGCGGGGAAGTTGGTGCTGCTACAGAAGATGTTGCGAAGACTCCACACAGATGGACACAGGGTTCTGATATTCTCTCAGGTACCACAACTAGTACCACAACTAGTACCACAACTAGTACCACAACTACCACAACTAGTACCACAACTAGTACCACTACTAGTACCACAACTAGTACCACAACTAGTACCACTACTAGTACCACAACTACCACAACTAGTACCACAACTAGTACCACAACTACCACAACTACCACAACTAGTACCACAACTAGTACCACTACTAGTACCACAACTAGTACCACAACTAGTACCACTACTAGTACCACAACTACCACAACTAGTACCACAACTAGTACCACAACTAGTACAACAACTAGTACCACAACTAGTACCACAACTAGTACCACTAGTAGTACCACAACTAGTACCACAACTAGTACCACAACTACCACAACAAGTTGGTGCTGCTCCAGAAGATGTTGCGAAGACTCCACACAGATGGACACAGGGTTCTGATATTCTCTCAGGTACCACAACTAGTACCACAACTAGTACCACAACTAGTACCACAGCTAGTACCACAACTAGTACCACAACTAGTATCACAACTAGTACCACAACTAGTACCACTAATAGTACCACAACTATTACCACAACTAGGACCACCACAAGGACCACAACTAGTACCACAACTAGTACCACTAGTACCACTACTAGTACCACAACTAGTACAACTAGTACCACAACTAGTACAACTAGTACCACAACTAGTACAACTAGTACCACAACTAGTACCACAACTAGTACCACAACTAGAACCACAACTACCACAACTAGTACCACAACTAGTACAACTAGTACCACAACTAGTACCACAACTAGTACCACAACTAGTACCACAACTAGTACCACAACTAGTACCACAAGTTGGTGCTGCTACAGAAGATGTTGCGAAGACTCCACACAGATGGACACAGGGTTCTGATATTCTCTCAGGTAACACAACTAGTACCACAACTAGTACCACAACTAGTACCACAACTACCACAACTAGTACCACTACTAGTACCACAACTAGTACCACTACTAGTACCACTACTAGTACCACAACTAGTACCACTACTAGTACCACAACTAGTACCACAACTAGTACCACAACTAGTACTACAACTAGTACCACTCACAACTACCACAACTAGTACCACAACTAGTACCACAACTAGTACCACAACTACCACAACAAGTTGGTGCTGCTCCAGAAGATGTTGCGAAGACTCCACACAGATGGACACAGGGTTCTGATATTCTCTCAGGTACCACAACTAGTACCACAACTAGTACCACTACTAGTACCACAACTAGTACCACAACTACCACAACAAGTTGGTGCTGCTACAGAAGATGTTGCGAAGACTCCACACAGATGGACACAGGGTTCTGATATTCTCTCAGGTACCACTACTAGTACCACAACTACCACAACTAGTACCACAACTAGTACCACAACTACCACAACAAGTTGGTGCTGCTACAGAAGATGTTGCGAAGACTCCACACAGATGGACACAGGGTTCTGATATTCTCTCAGGTACCACAACTAGTACCACAACTAGTACCACTACTAGTACCACAACTAGTACCACAACTACCACAACAAGTTGGTGCTGCTACAGAAGATGTTGCGAAGACTCCACACAGATGGACACAGGGTTCTGATATTCTCTCAGGTACCACTACTAGTACCACAACTACCACAACTAGTACGACAACTAGTACCACAACTAGTACCACAACTAGTACCACTACTAGTACCACAACTAGTACCACAACTAGTACCACTACTAGTACCACAACTAGTACCACAACTAGTACCACAACTACCACAACTAGTACCACAACTAGTACCACAACTAGTACCACTACTAGTACCACAACTAGTACCACAACTACCACAACTAGTACCACAACTACCACAACTAGTACCACTACTAGTACCACAACTAGTACAACAACTAGTACCACAACTAGTACCACAACTAGTACCACAACTACCACAACTAGTACCACAACTAGTACCACAACTACCACAACTAGTACCACAACTAGTACCACAACTAGTACCACAACTACCACAACTAGTACCACAACTAGTACCACAACTAGTACCACAACTACCACAACTACCACAACTAGTACCACAACTATTACCACAACTAGTACCACTACTAGTACCACAACTAGTACCACAACTAGTACCACTGCTAGTACCACTACTAGTACCACAACTAGTACCACAACTAGTACCACAACTACCACAACTAGTACCACAACTAGTACCACAACTAGTACCACATATACTACCACAACTAGTACCACAACTAGTACCACAACTAGTACCACAACTAGTACCACAACTACCACAACAAGTTGGTGCTGCTACAGAAGATGTTGCGTAGACTCCACACAGATGGACACAGGGTTCTCATATTCTCTCAGGTACCACAACTAGTACCACAACTAGTACCACTACTAGTACCACAACTAGTACCACAACTACCACAACAACTACCACAACTGGTACCACAACTAGTACCACAACTACCACAACAACTAGTACCACAACTAGTACCACAACTACCACAACTAGTACCACAAATAGTACCACAACTAGTACCACAACTACCACAACTAGTACCACAACTACGACAACTAGTTCCACAACTACCACAACTAGTACCACAACTACCACAACAACTACCACAACTGGTACCACAACTAGTACCACAACTACCATAACAACTAGTACCACAACTAGTACCACAACTACCACAACTAGTACCACAACTACCACAACTAGTACGACAACTACCACCACAACTAGTACCACAACAACAACCACAACAACAACCACAACTACCACCACAAAATGTACCACAACTACCACAACTAGTACCACAACAACTACCACTCACACCAGCACAACTACCACAACGAGTACCACCACTACCACAACAACCACCACAACTAGTAACACAACTACCACAACTACTACAGCTACCACAACAACTACCACTCACACCGCCACAACTAGTACCACTACTACCACCACTACTACTACCACTACTACCACTACTACTACCACTACCTCCATAACTGCCACCACAACTGCCATCACTACTACCACCACTACTACTACTATACACTACTTCCACCACCACCACTTCTACTACCACTACACTACTACTACCACTACCACCACAACTACCACCACTACTACCACGACTACTACCACTACTACTACCACTACCACCACAACTACCACCACAACTGCCATCACTACTACCACCACTACTACTACCACTACTATACACTACTTCCACCACCACCACTTCTACTACCACTACACTACTACTACCACTACTACCACCACTACTACTACCACTACTACCACTACTACTACCACTACTACGACTACTACACTACTACTACCACTACTACTACCACTACTACCACCACAACTACTACTACTACCACTACTACTACCACTACTACTACCACTACTACTACCACTACTACTACCACTACTACCACTACTCCTACCACCACTACTACTACCACTTCTACCACCACAACTACTACCACCCCAACTAATACTACTACCACTACTACTACCACTACTACTACCACTTCTACCACCACAACTACTACTACTACCACCACTACTACTACCACTTCTACCACCACAACTACTACTACCACTACTACTACTACCACTACTACCACTACTACTACTACTACCACCACTACTACTACCACTACTACTACCACTACTGCTACTACCACTACTACTACTACCACCACTTCTACCACCACAACTACTGCTACTACCACTACTACTACTACCACTACCACCACAACTACTACTACTACCACCACTACTACTACCACTACTACTACTACCACTACTACTACTACCACTACTACTACTACCACCACTACTACTACCACTACTACTACCACTACTGCTACTACCACTACTACTACTACCACTTCTACCACCACAACTACTACTACTACCACTACTACTACTACCACTACTACCACAACTACTACTACTACCACCACTACTACTACCACTACTACTACCACTACTACTACCACTACTACTACTACCACTACTACCACTACTCCTACCACAACTACTACTACCACTTCTACCACCACAACTACTACTACTACCACTACTACTACTACCACTACTACTACCACTTCTACCACCACAACTACTACTACTACCACTACTACTACTACCACTTCTACCACCACAACTACTACTACTACCACTACTACTACCACTACTACTACCATAAACCACGACCACCACTACTACTACTACCATAACGAGCGTGACCCCTCACCCCACGTGATTGACCCCTCACCCCCACGTCATTGACCCCTCACCCCACGTGATTGACCCCTCACCCCACGTGATTGACCCCTCACCCCACGTGATTGACCCCTCACCCCACGTGATTGACCCCTCACCCCACGTGATTGACACCTCACCCCCACGTGATTGACCCCTCACCCCCACGTGATTGACACCTCACCCCCACGTGATTGACACCTCACCCCACGTGATTGACACCTCACCCCCACGTGATTAACCCCTCACCCCCACGTGATTGACACCTCACCCCCACGTGATTGACACCTCACCCCCACGTGATTAACCCCTCACCCCCACGTGATTAACCCCTCACCCCCACGTGATTGACCCCTCACCCCCACGTGATTGACCCCTCACCCCCACGTGATTGACACCTCACCCCACGTGATTAACCCCTCACCCCCACGTGATTGACACCTCACCCCCCCGTGATTGACACCTCTCACCCCACGTGATCGACACCTCACCCCCACGTGATTGACACCTCACCCCCACGTGATTGACCCCTCACCCCCACGTGATTAACCCCTCACCCCCACGTGATTGACACCTCACCCCACGTGATTGACACCTCTCACCCCACGTGATTGACAACTCACCCCCACGTGATTGACACCCCGCCCCACGTGATTGACACCTCACCCCCACGTGATTGACACCTCACCCCACGTGATTGACCCCTCACCCCCACGTGATGAACCCCTCACTCCCACGTGATTGACACCTCACCCCCACGTGATTCACCCCTCACCCCCACGTGATTGACACCTCACCCCCACGTGATTGACACCTCGCCCCCACGTGATTAACACCTCTCACCCCACGTGATTAACACCTCACCCCACGTGATTGACACCCCGCCCCACGTGATTGACACCTCTCACCCCACGTGATTGACACCTCATCCCACGTGATTGACACCTCACCCCACGTGATTGACACCCCGCCCCACGTGATTGACACCTCACCCCCACGTGATTGACCCCTCACCCCCACGTGATTGACACCTCTCACCCCACGTGATTAACACCTCACTCCCACGTGATTGACACCTCTCACCCCACGTGATTGACACCTCACCTCCACGTGATTGACCCCTCACCCCACGTGATTGACACCTCACCCCCACGTGATTAACACCTCACCCCACGTGATTGACCCCTCACCCCCACGTGATTGACACCTCACCCCCACGTGATTGACACCTCACCCCCACGTGATTAACCCCTCACCCCCACGTGATTGACCCCTCACCCCCACGTGATGAACCCCTCACCCCCACGTGATTGACACCTCACCCCCACGTGATTGACACCTCACCCCACGTGATTGACACCTCACCCCCACGTGATTGACCCCTCACCCCACGTGATTAACCCCTCACCCCCACGTGATTGACCCCTCACCCCACGTGATTAACACCTCACCCCCACGTGATTGACACCTCAACCCCACGTGATTGACCCCTCACCCCACGTGATTAACCCCTCACCCCCACGTGATTGACCCCTCACCCCACGTGATTGACCCCTCACCCCCACGTGATTGACACCTCACCCCACGTGATTAACCCCTCACCCCCACGTGATCAACCCTTCACCCCATGTGATTAACCCCTCACCCCCACGTGATTGACACCTCACCCCACGTGATTGACACCTCACCCCCACGTGATTGACACCTCACCCCACGTGATTGACCCCTCACCCCCACGTGATTGACACCTCACCCCCACGTGATTGACACCTCACCCCACGTGATTAACCCCTCACCCCCACGTGATTAACCCCTCACCCCACGTGATTGACACCTCACCCCCACGTGATTGACACCTCACCCCCACGTGATTGACACCTCACCCCACGTGATTAACACCTCACTCCCACGTGATTGACACCTCTCACCCCACGTGATTGACACCTCACCCCCACGTGATTGACACCTCACCCCACGTGATTGACACCTCACCCCCACGTGATTGACACCTCACCCCCACGTGATTGACACCTCACCCCACGTGATTAACACCTCACCCCCACGTGATTGACCCCTCACCCCACGTGATTAACCCCTCACCCCACGTGATTAACACCTCACCCCACGTGATTAACACCTCACCCCACGTGATTAACACCTCACCCCCACGTGATTGACCCCTCACCCCACGTGATTAACACCTCACCCCACGTGATTAACACCTCACCCCACGTGATTAACACCTCACCCCCACGTGATTAACCCCTCACCCCACGTGATTAACCCCTCACCCCCACGTGATTAACCCCTCACCCCACGTGATTGACACCTCACCCCCACGTGATTGACACCTCTCACCCCCACGTGATTAACCCCTCACCCCACGTGATTGACACCTCACCCCCACGTGATTGACACCTCTCACCCCCACGTGATTGAAACCTCACCCCCACGTGATTGACACCTCACCCCCACGTGATTAACACCTCACCCCCACGTGATTGACACCTCACCCCCACGTGATTAACCTCTCACCCCACGTGATTAACCCCTCACCCCCACGTGATTAACCCCTCACCCCCACGTGATTAACCCCTCACCCCCACGTGATTAACACCTCACTCCCACGTGATTGACACCTCTCACCCCACGTGATTGACACCTCACCCCCACGTGATTGACACCTCACCCCCACGTGATTGACACCTCACCCCCACGTGATTGACACCTCACCCCCACGTGATTAACCCCTCACCCCCACGTGATTAACCCCTCACCCCCACGTGATTAACCCCTCACCCCACGTGATTTACACCTCACCCCACGTGATTGACACCTCACCCCCACGTGATTAACACCTCACCCCCACGTGATTCACCCCTCACCCCCACGTGATTAACCCCTCACCCCCACGTGATTGACACCTCTCACCCCACGTGATTAACACCTCACTCCCACGTGATTGACACCTCTCACCCCCACGTGATTGACCCCTCACCCCCACGTGATTGACCCCTCACCCTTCACTGACCCCACCCCGTGACAGATGACCAAGATGCTAGACCTTCTGGAGGACTTCCTGGAGTTTGAAGGCTACAAGTACGAACGCATTGACGGTGGAATCACGGGCGCCCTGCGGCAGGAAGCCATCGACAGATTCAACGGCACGGCGATCAAACACACGGACGTCGTGACACACACACACAGTGATACACACACACACAAAGTGATACACACACACACACAGTGATACACACACAGTGATACACACACAGTGATACACACAGTGATACACACACACACAGTGATACACACACACACAGTGATACACACACACAGTGATACACACACAGTGATACACACACACACACAGTGATACACACACACAGTGATACACACACACACACAGTGATACACACACACACACAGTGATACACACAGTGATACACACACACAGTGATACACACACACACAGTGATACACACACAGTGATACACACAGTGATACACACACACACACACAGTGATACACACAAACAGTGATACACACACACACAGTGATACACACACACACAGTGATACACACACACAGTGATACACACACAGTGATACACACACACACACAGTGATACACACACACAGTGATACACACACACACAGTGATACACACACACACACAGTGATACACACACACACAGTGATACACACACACAGTGACACACACACACACAGTGATACACACACACAGTGTTACACACACACAGTGATACACACACACACAGTGATACACACACACAGTGATACACACACACACAGTGATACACACACACAGTGACACACACAGTGATACACACACACAGTGATACACACAGTGATACACACACACAGTGATACACACAGTGATACACACACAGTGATACACACACACAGTGATACACACACACACAGTGATACACACACACACACAGTGATACACACACACAGTGATACACACACACACACAGTGATACACACACACACACAGTGATACACACACACACAGTGATACACACACACAGTGAGACACACACACACAGTGATACACACACACAGTGATACACACACACACAGTGATACACACAGTGATACACACACAGTGATACACAGACACAGTGATACACACAGTGATACACACACACAGTGATACACACACACAGTGATACACACACAGTGATACACACAGTGATACACACAGTGATACACACACAGTGATACACACAGTGATACACACACACAGTGATACACACACACACACAGTGATACACACAGTGATACACACACACACACACAGTGATACACACACACAGTGATACACACACACAGTGATACACACACACACAGTGATACACACACAGTGATACACACAGTGATACACACACACAGTGATACACACACACACAGTGATACACACAGTGATACACACACACACAGTGATACACACACACAGTGATACACACAGTGATACACACACACAGTGATACACACACACAGTGATACACACACAGTGATACACACACAGTGATACACACAGTGATACACACACACAATGATACACACACAGTGATACACACACACACACACAGTGATACACACACACAGTGATACACACACACAGTGATACACACACAGTGATACACACACAGTGATACACACACACAGTGACACACACAGTGATACACACACACACAGTGATACACACACACACAGTGATACACACACACAGTGATACACACACAGTGATACACACACACACACAGTGATACACACACACACAGTGATACACACAGTGATACACACACAGTGATACACACACACAGTGATACACACACACAGTGATACACACACACACACAGTGATATACACACACACAGTGATACACACACACAGTGATACACACACAGTGATACACACACACAGTGATACACACAGTAATACACACACACACAGTGATACACACACACAGTGATACACACACACAGTGATACACACACACAGTGATACACACACACAGTGATACACACACACACAGTGATACACACACAGTTATACACACAGTGATACACACACACAGTGATACACACACACACAGTGATACACACAGTGATACACACACACACAGTGATACACACACACAGTGATACACACAGTGATACACACAGTGATACACACACACAGTGATACACACACACAGTGATACACACAGTGATACACACACACACAGTGATACACACACACAGTGATACACACACACACACAGTGATACACACACACAGTGATACACACACACACAGTGATACACACAGTGATACACACACAGTGATACACACACACACAATGATACACACACAGTGATACACACACAGTGATACACACAGTGATACACACATAGTGATACACACAGTGATACACACACACACACAGTGATACACACACACACAGTGATACACACACACAGTGATACACACACAGTGATACACACACACACAGTGATACACACACACACAGTGATACACACAGTGATACACACACAGTGATACACACACACAGTGATACACACACACAGTGATACACACACACACAGTGATATACACACACACAGTGATACACACACACAGTGATACACACACAGTGATACACACACACAGTGATACACACAGTAATACACACACACAGTGATACACACACAGTGATACACACATAGTGATACACACACACAGTGATACACACACACACAGTGATACACACAGTGATACACACACACACACAGTGATACACACACACAGTGATACACACACACAGTGATACACACACACACAGTGATACACACACACAGTGATACACACACACAGTGATACACACAGTGATACACACACACAGTGATACACACAGTGATACACACACACAGTGATACACACAGTGATACACACACACAGTGATACACACACACACACAGTGATACACACACACAGTGATACACACACAGTGATACACACAGTGATACACACAGTGATACACACACACACAGTGACACACACACAGTGATACAAAACACACTGTGATACACACACAGTGATACACACACACAGTGATACACACACACACAGTGATACACACACACAGTGATACACACACACACACAGTGATACACACACAGTGATACACACACACACAGTGATACACACAGTGATACACACACAGTGATACACACACACACAGTGATACACACACACACAGTGATACACACACACAGTGATACACACACACACAGTGATACACACACACAGTGATACACACACAGTGATACACACACACAGTGACACACACACACAGTGATACACACACACAGTGATACACACACACAGTGATACACACACACACAGTGATACACACACACACAGTGATACACACACACACAGTGATACACACACACAGTGATACACACACACAGTGATACACACACACAGTGATACACACACACAGTGATACACACACACAGTGATACACACACACACACAGTGATACACACACAGTGATACACAGTGATACACACACACAGTGATACACACACACAGTGATACACACACACACAGTGATACACACACACACAGTGATACACACAGTGATAAACACACACACACAGTGATACACACACACAGTGACACACACACACACAGTGATACACACACACACAGTGATACACACACAGTGATACACACAGTGATACACACAGTGATACACACACACACACACAGTGATACACACACAGTGATACACACACAGTGATACACACACACAGTGATACACACACAGTGATACACACACAGTCATACACACACACACACAGTGATACACACACAGTGATACACACACACAGTGATACACACACACAGTGATACACAGACACACACACAGTGATACACACACACAGAGATACACACACACACAGTGATACACACACACAGTGACACACACACAGTGATACACACACACAGTGATGCACACACACACACAGTGATACACACACACAGTGATACACACACACAGTGATACACACATAGTGATGCACACACAGTGATACACACACACAGTGATACACACACACACACAGTGATACACACACACACACAGTGATACACACACACACAGTGATACACACAGTGATACACACAGTGATACACACACACACAGTGATACACACACACACAGTGATATACACACACACAGTGATACACACACACAGTGATACACACATAGTGATACACACACAGTGATACACACACACAGTGATACACACACACACACAGTGATACACACACACACAGTGATACACACAGTGATACACACAGTGATACACACACACACACAGTGATACACACACAGTGATACACACACACACACAGTGATACACACAGTGATACACACACACAGTGATACACACAGACACACAGTGATACACACACACACAGTGATACACACATAGTGATACACACACAGTGATACACACACATACACAGTGATACACACAGTGACACACACACAGTGATACACACACACACAGTGATACACACACAGTGATACACACACACAGTGATACACACACACACAGTGATACACACACACAGTGATACACACAGTGATACACACACACAGTGATACACACACACACAGTGATACACACACACACAGTGATACACACACACAGTGATACACACACACAGTGATACACACACACAGTGATACACACACACAGTGATACACACACAGTGACACACACACACACACAGTGATACACACACACAGTGATACACACAGTGATACACACACACAGTGATACACACGCACAGTGATACATACACAGTGATACACACACACAGTGATACACACCGTGATACACACCCACAGTGATACACACATAGTGATACACACAGTGATACACACACACAGTGATACACACAGTGATACACACACACAGTGATACACAGAGTGATACACACACAGTGATACACACAGTGATACACACACAATGATACACACACACAGTGATACACACACACAGTGATACACACAGTAACACACACACAGTGATACACATAGTGATACACACAGTGATACACACACACAGTGATACACACACAGTGATACACACACACAGTGATACACACACAGTGATACACACACAGTGATACACACAGTGATACACACACAGTGATACACACATACAGTGATACACACAGTGATACACACACACAGTGATACACACACACAGTGATACACACACACAGTGATACACACAGTGATACACACACACAGTGATACACACACACAGTGATACACACACACAGTGATACACACAGTGATACACACAGTGATACACACACAGTGATACACACAGTGATACACACACACAGTGATACACACACACAGTGATACACACACACACACAGTGATACACACACACAGTGATACACACAGTGATACACACACACAGTGATACACACACACACAGTGATACACACACACAGTGATACACACACAGTGATACACACACACACACACAGTGATACACACAGTGATACACACACACAGTGATACACACACACAGTGATACACACACAGTGATACACACACAGTGATACACACACAGTGATTCACACACACACAGTGATACACACAGTGATACACACACAGTGACACACACACACAGTGATACACACACAGTGATACACACACACAGTGATACACACACACAGTGATACACACACAGTGATACACACAGTGATACACACACAGTGATACACACACACAGTGATACACACAGTGATACACACACACAGTGATACACACACACAGTGATACACACAGTGATACACACACACAGTGATACACACACACAGTGATACACACAGTGATACACACACACAGTGATACACACAGTGATACACACACACAGTGATACACACACACAGTGATACACACAGTGATACACACACAGTGATACACACAGTGATAAACACACACAGTGATACACACACACACAGTGATACACACACACAGTGATACACACAGTGATACACACACACAGTGATACACACACACACAGTGATACACACACACAGTGATACACACACAGTGATACACACACACACACACAGTGATACACACAGTGATACACACACACAGTGATACACACACACAGTGATACACACACAGTGATACACACACAGTGATACACACACAGTGATTCACACACACACAGTGATACACACAGTGATACACACACAGTGACACACACACACAGTGATACACACACAGTGATACACACACACAGTGATACACACACACAGTGATACACACACAGTGATACACACAGTGATACACACACAGTGATACACACACACAGTGATACACACAGTGATACACACACACAGTGATACACACACACAGTGATACACACAGTGATACACACACACAGTGATACACACACACAGTGATACACACAGTGATACACACACACAGTGATACACACAGTGATACACACACACAGTGATACACACACACAGTGATACACACAGTGATACACACACAGTGATACACACAGTGATAAACACACACAGTGATACACACACACACAGTGATACACACACACAGTGATACACACAGTGATACACACACACAGTGATACACACACACACAGTGATACACACACACAGTGATACACAGTGATACACACACACACACAGTGATACACACAGTGATACACACACACAGTGATACACACACACACACAGTGATACACACACACACACAGTGATACACACACAGTGATACACACAGTGATACACACAGTGATACACACACACAGTGATACACACACACACACACAGTGATACACACACACACAGTGATACACACAGTGATACACACACAGTGATACACACAGTGATACACACACACAGTGATACACACACACACACACAGTGATACACACACACACAGTGATACACACAGTGATACACACACACAGGGATACTCACACACAGTGATACACACAGTGATACACACACAGTGATACACACACACAGTGATACACACACACAGTGATACACACATAGTGATACACACACACACACACAGTGATACACACACACAGTGATACACACACACACAGTGATACACACACACACACATAGTGATACACACACAGTGATACACACACACACAGTGATACACACACACACAGTGATACACACACACACAGTGATACACACACAGTGATACACACACACAGTGATACACACACACAGTGATACACACACACAGTGATACACACAGTGATACACACACACAGTGATACACACACACAGTGATACACACAGTGATACACACAGTGATACACACACACAGTGATACACACACACAGTGATACACACACACAGTAATACACACAGTGATACACACATAGTGATACACACACACACAGTGATACACACACACACACAGTGATACACACACACACAGTGATACACACACACAGTGATACACACACACACAGTGATACACACACACGCAGTGATACACACACAGTGATACACACAGAGTGATACACACACAGTGATACACACACAGTGATACACACAGTGATACACACACACACACAGTGATACACACACACACAGTGATACACACAGTGATACACACAACAACAACAACCGCCATTCGCCACTAAGTGGCGGGGACGTCACCACGACGTTTGTACCAGGCTATGTGCACCCTGAGGCCACGTGAAGTGTCGAACGCCCGCTGGCAGGAGGTCACTGGGCAGACCCAGGTGCCACGGGTCGACTGACTGAGATGACTGAGATGACTGGCTGATGCACCACCTGTGCCCCCTACTGTGCCAACCTGCTGTGCTTTAGCCACCCGGCGCTCCGCTCGTTGTTGTGAGCGTCGCTCCTCCGCCCTCCGTTGTTGTTGGAGGGCGACTGCCTCCAACTGCCCAGTAGCGTCCTTCACGAGCCTCCTCCACAGAGGCCGATCTTGACACCGCTGGTACCGGTCATCGGCAAGTCCACTCAGCTCCACGTCCTCCTGTACCACATCACTCCATCTCTTCTCTAGCCCGTGCCGCGCCCGCTTAGCCCCCTCAATCCGGCCAAACAAAAGCTGTTTCGGCATGCGGTGGCTGGGCATGCGGGCTACATCACCCAGCCATCGCAGCCTTGCCTGCCGGAGGAGCTCACCGATGGGACCCTGCCCAGATCTTTCAAGGATTTGTGAGCTCCTCACACAATCCAGTCTGGTTAAACCCAGCCTAAATGTTTCTAACCGGCGAAGATGTTCCATTAGGGGGGTCCACGTTTCGCAAGCGTAGAGAAGGGAGGGAATGACCGTGGCCGAGAAGACCTGAAGCTTAGTGCTGAGCGACAGACCAGGTAGCTTCCACACAGCGTTACGCAACCGATGAAAAGGTATTGCCGCTCGACTGATTCGGAGTGAGACCTCTGCTGTTAAACTGGAGCCAGTCATAAGCACACTGCCCAGGTATGGGAAACTCTCCACTCTCTCCACAACTGCCCCATCACCGATTGGGAGTTGTGGGGGTGGAGTGTCTGATGGTACAAAATACCCAGGCAGGTGCTTAGTTTTGGTGGGGCTGATGGTAAAGCCCCACCTCTTAGTGGCACGCTCCAGTCTCAGCAGCAGCGTCTCCAACTCCTCCTCTGACTGAGCAGCTATTACCAAATCATCAGCATACATAACGTGGTTGAGCAATAGGGAGCCATCCCTTGACCGCACCCGGGCATCGATCAGCCTCCCATTATATCTGTACCATATGGAGATTCCCCCGGTACAGCTATTGAAGGCTTCACGAACTACGTGGTCAAAATAGATGTTAAATAATGTGGGAGCCAGAGGACATCCCTGTCGCACCCCAAGGTGTACAGGGAATGGCTCTGACTCCCGGCCACGTAGTTTTACCCGGGCCCGCTCACCATCAAGAAGGTCCTTAATGATCGTGAGCAGAGTGTCAGG